TTCGACCACCCTCTTTCATATCACTACTAGTACAAGTACAGTAACAGGATAGTTCCAAACCGAAAAGTCTCATGAAGTCGAAAGTTTGCTTCGCATTTCCAAAGCAAAGAAGGCGCTGCACTTCGTCTACTGACATCTTCTCTTTTTGAAACATAACTTTGCTCCACAACTCCATGCTCCGTCGCCGCGTGATGGGGAAAAGCTTGAAAATCAAACACCGAGCGAGCACATGAAATGTTCTATCCTCCTCTCTCAAAACCAGATCCCAGTTCATGCACAATCGATGAAAGCGTGCCCAGTTACCAGCCGCTAAAGCTTTCGCATACTGCAGCGCCCATTGCGTTCTGGGAAGTGAAAAATCTCGTCTTCGCAGTTTCGTCTTGGAATTTTCGCAAGATTTTAGCTCTGTCTCCTCTAGGACCCGATAGGTATGTAAAAACAGCTTTGTCCACCCGTCGCCGTCACAGGGTCCAGCTTCCCGTCTTTCCCCACTCGAGAGGACATCGTGCAGTTGAAGTAATGTGTAATAAGCGAGAAACTCGTCCAAATGAGGTTCAACTTCGTTTTCAGAGTCAGCCATTCGCCCATGTTTATGTGCCTGCATGAGAAAGGACGTGGAAATGGAGTGTGATGAGTGTAGGAACGGACTACAGCTGACATGCCCCCCGTCGGATTCGCTTTACATTTTGGAAAAAGTCTAGCAGCGTCGCAAGCCCAGATCTAACAGCATTCAGTCTATATTGTAGAAAAGGAGGAATGAGTGAGAGAGTGACTAAGGATTTGGCTGATAGATACATAGATTTTTTTTTCCGTCCTGAAGTGAAAGAGTGTCCACGTACCCCATGTGCGCATCAAAGACTGGTGGCACCTGTGTGGGTTTGCAGTATGACAATTTTGGCATGTGCTGTAATCGATTCTAAGAGTAAAAGAGTATCGAGCACGCAAGTCTTCTCAAGCCTCATACCTGCTCTGTCAAAAGGTAGTCGAACAAAATGTGGAAACGAATGATGCGTTTGTAGATGGCCTGTGCACCGGAGCCCGCCAAGCCTTGCACTATGATGTCCTTTCGCACAGCCATAAACCGATCACTCATGAAGTCATACAGCTCCACAAGTCGCAAAAGATCCTCTTTTTTCGGCGCTTTCTCCTGACCCTGGCTTTCTAACACGCTCAGCGCAACACTCCACAAGTGCGCCACAGTTCGCTCTAACCATTTGAGGGGACGTACGTCACCGGCTGTCTCGCCACGTCCATCAGCGGCCCGTTGATACCGCTTTACAGCTCTCTTCCAGGAGGTTGAGGTTGTGAGGAAAAGATCAGTGTGAGTCCGACAAAAGAAAATGTTTCTACTTTCATTTTCTCAATATACCTCGGGGTCCATTTTCCTCAAATGCCGCCGCAGCATCCTTGTCGCATCCGTTGCCTCAAATTGGCTTATATCGTGCTGTTTTTGTCGTTCTTCTTGCTCTTGTATACTACACATAGCCTCACATCTCCCCTTGATGTGCACGTCGGACGTAAAAGTTAGTGCCTAAAGCTTTTCGTCAAAACATGTTTGACCTTTTAACTTACTTTCATTTGCGAAAATAGCAGGGATAAAGCGCACCCTATTTCTTGAACCCACAAACTTTCTGTCTTGTCATGGATGACGTATTGCGTCGTGAAATGTTGCATGAGTGTGAACTGCACGGGCTTGTAGTCGGGAGGTCAAGCATACTAAAGCACCATGATGTGAGGGGAAAGGTCCCTTGGTCGGGATGATATGATGGAAAAGGTACCCCTCGAAGCCCTCGAGACTCGAGTCGAAGGGCCACGGTAGCTGATATGATGGAATAGGCACCTCCCTCTCAGGGCCTCCTCGAGCCTGCGAAGGGCGAGGCGAGAGAGGGCAAAGGGAGAGAGCTTGTGCCCGAGGTTGTTGTCCGCTTTGTGGGCGCCCTTTCGTACGTCGACACCGGCCTGCAAGGAGATGAAGAGAGCAGCCTATATTTTGTTCCATGTCGTGGGGAAGCAGACATTCGCCCACACAAGCGTTCACGTTCGGTATCCCATTGCCCGACGTATGTCGTACTCTTGCTGCCCGTCGCTCCGTCATCTTCGATTTTCCAATTCTCACCGCAGCATTTCTCATGCCTTCTCAATTTCGAATCATCTCACAAAACAGCGTCGACCCATGCTTGTTGCACGAGGAATCTTTCAACTGGCCGCCCGCCGCGGCGTGCACACAACGCGGATCCTGGCCTCGACTGCTCGTGAGTTTACGCGGGGAAAGAGCCGCCGGGATGTCATCATTCGTGACCTGCAGTCAGTGATTTTTAGAGATTCACCTTACTCACCTCTCTCTTACTTAATACTACAATACCTGACTCACAGCTGCCGCGGCGGACGCATCTTCGGGCGACAACTTAATCCTGAACTTCTCCCTCCCGGCTGCCAGCATCTACCGCAACAAGCCCGTGGCGTCTGTCGTCATTCCGGTAAGTAGAGCCTGCATTGATAGTAACCTTTTCCCGTTAAATCCAATATATTTCGTCCATTTACTTCACTCGCATGCGCATAGCACCCAGTCATCCCAATGAACCCTCTCTCCTCCGACTAAATCTACCATTACACAGGGGCTTGCTGGTGAATACGGTGTGACAAAGAATCACTCTCCTGTCATCGCTGAGCTGAAGGCGGGTGTGGTTCAGATTGTGCATGAGACAGGACAGGCACCGGAGAAATTCTTTGTCAGCGGTGGCTTCGCTCTGACCCATGCCAACTCTGTCACGGTGCGTACACGGATCCCGCGTGGTCTGGGAGAGAGACGGGCACTGGAGGGAGGGGGACGGTTTTGGCTTTCGGAAACATCAGCAGCATCAGACCTAGTTGCGCACACGGTAACTAGTCAATAATTTAGGGACATGCAACGCTTGGCGAGCCTGTGGAGTTCGGGTCCGAGGAGGGGTCCTTGGCCCATGTCTGCCGCCGTGTCATGTGATTTTCTGAAAGCCTCTGTCCTTTCTTTCCAACATACATACAGGACATTGCGGTTGTGGAAGCCGCCAAACTTGAGGACATAGACGTAGAGGAGGTGCCCAAGATCTACGCCGAGGCCATGAAAGACTACAATGCGGCAGCGGAAGGGAGCAAAGAGAAGGTTGAGGCGCAAATTGAAGTGGAGGTCGCCAAATCGCTGGCAGGGGCGCTGGGTGTGGCTCTCACGTGAGGGAAAAGAGCGAAACCGTGTGAGTCAGTGGATATGCGGGGGGATTATGCTTATTGAGAGTGGTGAGGTGGAACGGACCGTGGAAGGGCCTCTCCGAAGCGAGGGAGCCCTGGAGTTCACAGAAGCACAGAAGAGGAAAAATGTTCTGGGTCGCACGGCGATTCGTTGTGTTGGAGTCGTCCTTCTTTGCTTTTTCCCACCCTGTTAATACGCCTCCGCCTCTCGAAGCCCGCCCTTTCACTTCGTTGCAGCCACGCCTTCCCCTCCTCTTCCTCCTTCCCTGTCCCCCCACGCCAAATACGCCGCCGCCGTCCCGACTCGCTCCGCGGCCACCCACACTTGTCTCTGCGCCAGCTCCCAGTCTCCATCGCTGAGCGCCTGCGTGACCCCCGGAAAAGACACGCCGGCGTAGCCGAGGTAGAGTCCCGGGGCCTGGAGGACATGCTTGAACCACTTCCGGCGAGGCAAGCCCTCCTTGGCGCAAAACCGTCGTTCTGTGAACGCCAGCCTGTCATTTAATGCTGCCAGTGCCTGCTCTCTGTCCTGCTTGACGCCCGAGCTCCTGAGGCCGGCCGCCTCCCTTGTCACTTGCTCCGCGGCGTCTTCATACGCCCGCACTGCCGCTTCCAGTGGCGCCAGGTCCAAGGACTCGGGCGCCACCTCCATGCTCGTCCCCACCAGCGCCTTCAATTCCTCCACGTACGCGTGCAAGGCTGTCGCTTGCGCCGTGTGCTCGAGAGGGAGGACCAGGGCGTCCGCGACACGGAGAGCGAGCCGCCCCCACAGCTCGGCCACCATCACGTGGAGCTCGAATGTCGGGTCGCCGAAACGTGACATCCATGAGAAAGAATCGTAGGTGCTATGGTACATCCCGTAGGGCCGCTTGAACCGATCGATCACCGCGCCCATGTCTATGCTGGAGATGCCTGGAGGGGAGGGAAGGGGGAAAGGGAAGGCACAGGATACAAAGCTATCAGCTTGACGGATCCGGGCAAATAATACACAAACCACCCTGTCCTGGCAGGAAGTAGCGGCCTGTTTTCTCCTCAGGCGTGCCGCGGCCGACCGACATACGCACCGAGATGATCCAGAAAAACGGTGTAGTCCGAACCTGAGCCCAGGATCTCGATGCCTCCCTCGGCCGAGAAATTTCGGGCCACCGGCTCGCCCGAGTAAGGGTGGAGGACATCCTCTTGCAGTGTCTCCAGCAACGGCCGCAGGGACGGCGTCGCCCCAGCATGGAAAAAAGGGCCTGAGACCGCGGAATCCACATTCACGTAGAGAACTGCCTTCTCTTTCAGCTCCGCCGCGTGCGCCTCCCCCCAGGCGGTGCTTCCAATCAACCCGAGCTCCTCACCGCTCCACGAGGCCAAGACCAGGGTCCTTCGCGGCCTCCATCCGCGTCGCAAGAGCGCCCCCAACCCCTTGGCCACCTCCATTTGCGACGCCGTGCCTGAGTTCGGGTCCACTGCCCCGTCCACCCACGCGTCCCGGTGGTTTCCCAACACCACCACCCGGTCCCGGGCTCTCCCATAGTGGAGGCTCTCGACCACGCCGATGACGTTCCACACGGTTCCCACCACCTCCCGGTTGTGCGTGGCCATGACGACCCTATCCCGGGAAGGACCCAGGTGGTAGGTAAGGTTTAGCGCTCCTTGAAAGGAGGCAGGAGCCACGGGGCTCTCCGCGCCTGCGTTTGCCAGGCTCTGCAAGAATGGCGTGGCGTCCCCGTAAGAGATGGGCAGGACGGGGATTTTCGGCTTCAAGTCCTCAGTGGCATACCCGCACACGTCCTCCGCGCTTCCCCCATCCTCTGCCAAGGCGGTGCGACCGGGATCCCCGGCACAGAGGGAGAGGAATTGCACCGAGCCTCGCTGGACGCCGAAGGCGGGGCGCCAGGGTCCCTCCGGGTAGGTGGGTCCGAGGGCGTAGCCGTCTTGTTCGGGGTCGGAATAGATCAAGGCCCCCACGGCGCCTCGTTTCTCGGCGTTCATGACCTTGAGCCCCCGGAAGCATTCGCCGTACCGCATCAGGACAATGCTTCCTTCCACGATCACGCCCGCCTCGGCTAGCACCTCGAAGTCTTCGGGCCGACCAAAATTTGCGTAAACCAAGGGGGCTTTCACTTCCCCACTAGGCGCATACCCCAGAAAGGTATGATTACGAAGCCATGTGTCAGAAGTAGAGTCCTCGGGAAGAAATGGCTCCGACAAAGTGGCGGCAAAAAGCGTCGACTTTGTGCTGCCGTCTTCCAAAGTCAAGCTAGGCCGCGTGTCCTCGCGCGGATAGGACAAGAGCGCAGGAACCGGCTGAATTTCGGCTTCAATACCGAAGGATTGCCATTGCGCTTGAACGTATTGGGCCATCTTCAGATCTCCTGGCGTTCCAGCCATGTGTGGAATTGACGTCAAGTAGTGGAGAGACGCCCTCGCAGACTGGGCACTCAGCGCCTGCACGAAAATATCTTCAGGATCTTCGGGGTACGAGCTAGGAAGATTGGAGGCTGGCCTACGCAAGCGAGCTTGGTATTCCTTGTCCGCGGTGGCCGACGAAAGAGTATCGAGAAGGAGCACGAGGAGGAGGAGTCCACTATAGCATGGGTACTTGGCCCATGCCCGGGTCTCTCCCATGGTTGCGTCTGAGATTTTGAAAAATGTGCCAGGGAAAGGAGGAGATGGCAGTGGGATGAGACTATGATGTGAAGAGTGACATGATGTTTCCTCGCACGTAGGGAAGGAAAAATGCGTGGTTCGTTCGTCCGTTGTCGAGCACACAGCGTGACTTCATTTCGGCCAGGGGGGGGGCCTTATCGATCAAAGTTCCCGACGACAGCGTCTCGAGGCGACGGGCCACGACCGATTCTTCTCCTGGACGGCCGCCGCCCTTCCATTTCACGACGTGCGGGGAAGTGGAAGGTCGGCTCCATCACTCCGTATGCCGTCCGAGTTTGGGTCTGGCGGTTGTGGTGAGGGCGTGGACTTCGCGTGACCCGGCAGGCCAACCGACCGTCTCTACGCGTCGTCACTCGCTTGAAGAAGTCCCAAGCGGCGAACGAAGCCTGCAAGAGGACAAGGCCCACCCTCTGCATATAACCTGACGCACCGGCACATTCTCACCACGTCACAGGTCTTGGACAAACGGGACGGTGTCCAAGGATCGAGGAGCAGGGGAATAAATTCGTTTGAACGTCGCCTGCACCTCCCGCTGGTACTACCCTTCTCCTAGCCCTCGGTGTGGAAGGCCTCCCTTCAAATCCACTCATCAGCAATCATGGACATCACGCAGACGTTGATAAATGCCCAAAGTCCTGGTACGTAACGATGAAAGCCTTATGCCTTCGCTTTGAAAGCTCAAGTGGTCTCTGTCTGCATCTTTTCTCCCTATTGCTAGCGATTCTCACTTGAGCACTTTCCCGATTCCTATCATCATTATCCTCGGCACACGCCCACAGACCCCAACGTCCGCAATCCTGCCGAGGCATTCCTGCGCCTGGCAGAAGAGGATCAACTGGTAGGTGATATGCTCTTTGAACGCTGAGAAGCTCGCTGCACAATGTCACAGCGGTCTCGCCATGGCCTCCCCTCTCCTTGTAACTACTCGACCGCCTGAGGCATCACAAGCCTCTAGGATGGATACTTGATTTTCCACATGCCTCTATATCCTCCCCACTATCTCATGGCTTTTTCTTTTCTGGTCTCCCTTCCCCGGCAGTCGCAACTCCTCCTTCACCTCAGCTTTGAACTCGCCAATGAAACCAAGCAAGAGGGAGGACGGCAGTTGGCGGGTCTCTACCTGAAGAACACCATCACTGCCAAGGACCCACAAGTGCGCGACCATAAGCGACAACGCTGGCTGACGACGGTGGACGCCAATACCAAAGGCCAGATCAAAAGCATGATCTTGCAGGCACTCCAGTCCGGCAATCCCCGGGCAGGCGCAACGGCCGCACAAGTCGTAGGGACCATCGGCGCCGTGGAGCTGCCCTTGGGGCAGTGGGACGGCCTGCTAGACGCTCTGCTGCACAACGTGGTGCACACGGGCAACGACGTGGTCCGCGTCTCCACGCTGCAGGCCCTTGGGTACATATGCGAAGACCTCCAGATCCAAATGGGGCCTGGGCAGGAGGTGCCGCAGAAGGAGACCGATATGATCCTTACGGCCATCGTGGATGGGATTCGGAGCGACCGACCGGCTGATGTCCGGCTGGCAGCGGCGACGGCCCTGTGCAACAGCCTGGACTTCTGCCGACGGAACATGGAGAAGGAGGGGGAGCGGAACATGATCATGCAGGTGATATGCGAAGCCACCCAGTGCGAGGACGCGCGGGTGAAGAAGAAGGCGTTCGAGTGCATCGCCGTCGTGGCAAGTCTGTATTACGACAAATTGCAGCCGTACATTACCACCTTGTTCGAGCTGACTCTGACCTGCATCAAAGAGGGGAGCAGCGAGGCCGCCTTCCAGGCCATCGAGTTCTGGAACACGCTCTGCGACGAGGAGGTGGACATCATCAGAGAGATCCAGGAGTACCAGGAGTACGGGGCCCTGGAAACGAGGGCACCAGGGGATCAAGGGCCGCGGCAATGTTTTTACTACGTGCAGAACGCCCTCGCCCACTTGGTCCCCCTGTTGACCGAACTGCTTACCAAGCAGGAGGAGCACCACGACGACGACTCTTGGAACATGGCCATGGCGGGCGGGACTTGCCTAAGCCTTGTCGCCTTGACCGTAGAGGACAAGATTTTGCCCTACGTGGTGCAGTTCGTCGTCAGCAACATATCCGACGCGAACTGGCGCCTGCGCGAGGCCGCCACCATGGCCTTCGGCTCCATCTTGGACGGCCCATCCTCGGGCGCCTTGCAACAAATGGTGTCCGGCGCACTGCCTTACCTGGTCCAAGGCCTCCAGGACGCGCACCCCATGGTCAAGGACACCTCGGCTTGGACCCTGGGGAAGGTCTTCGAGCTCCACTGGCGGTGCGTGCCTCTGGAGCACCTGGGCGAGGTGGTGAAAGCCCTCCTGCACGCCCTGGGGGACCCGGCGGCCAGCGTCTCCAGCAAGGCCTGCTTTGCCGTCTACAACCTGGCCTCGGACAGGGTCGCGGAGGACTACCCGGCAGCCAGTCCCACCACCAACTACCTCTCCCCCTTCTTCCCCCATCTGGTCGAGAAGCTCCTTGGCGTGGCCGAGCGCCCGGACGGCTCCGAGTCAAACCTGCGGGCGGCCGCCTACGAAGCGGTCAACATGCTCGTGACAAGCGCGGCCCCCGACTGCAACGAGCTGATCGGGCAGCAAGTGGTCCCGCTCCTGCTCATGCGTCTGCAACAGACCTTCCAAATGTCCGACCTGACCCTTGAGGCCAAAGAAGAGCTGTGGGGGCTGCAGTCCCTCCTCTGCGGCACTCTCATGACCTGCACGCAGAAGCTGGACCAAAACATCGCCCCGTACGCGGATAAGATGATGGAGTTGCTCATTGAGGTCTTCCGTCGGCACCGTCACGCCTCCGCACACGAGGAAGCCTTCATGGCGGTTGGAGCCCTGGCTGATAAATTGGAAGGTGGGTTCCTCAAGTATATGCCTCATTTCCAAGAGTACCTGTACGCGGGGCTCCGCAACTACGAGGACTCAGCAGTGTGCATCGTGGCAGTTGGGGTAGTAGGTGACTTGAGTCGGGCGCTGGAGAGAAAGTTGGCTCCATTCTGCGACCCGATCGTCGAGATTTTCCTGATGAACCTCCGAAACGTGGATGTTAGTAGGGAGGTGAAGCCTCACATATTGGCGTGCTTCGGAGACATTGCCCTGCAGATTGGCGGGGAGTTCGAGCGATTCTTGCACGTGACGATGACGATCTTGGGCCAGGCCGCCATGACGACCAGCAACTACAATGCCGAGGAGGAGGACATGGTCGAGCACATCAACCACTTGCGCGAGAGCATCCTGGATGCGTACACGGGCATCGTTCAGGGCCTCTCCGCCGACAATAAGCAAGGCTTATTGGTGCAACCGGCGTACTTGCAGCCGCTTGTGGCGCTCTTGATGGCGATAAGTGAGGATCCGCACTCAGACGAGGGAGTTATCAAGAGGACCATTGGCCTGGTGGGGGATCTGGGCAGCAAGCTTGGGGACAAGGTGGCGTCGGCCATTGGATTTAACAACCTGTGGGTGCAACACCTGTACAAGGACATGGATGAGTACGGAGAGGAGACGAAGAAAATCGCGGCATACACTCGCCAAGTATTAGAGCGGTTGGTTGTGAGGTAGGCCGCAAGGAGAGTGTCGCAGCGAAGGAAGGGGAAGGATTTGTTTCGGTTTTGATGCCTGATAGAGATGGAAATAGTCAGAAAGGAGAAGGCAATGGAATAAAGTGTACCAGTACAACTGGAGATGGTGCCATGGGTGGAGGGTGGCACTGGAGCAGGCAAGCTACCTGCTTGGCCTTTCCTTATTGCCTTTTAGCGAGGGTGTCTTCAGGCCAGAAGGCGCTGCTCGCTTGTACCTGGGACGTGAGAGAGAGAGCCTGATAGTATCCTGGCCGTTGTAGACTGGAAAATAGGACGATGGGCGGCCGAGAGGACGACGGGAGATTAGCACCACTCAAATTGCTCTGTACTGGCCTCTAAAGGTTTGGCGTAGCAGGATACGTATGGGGAAGAGCGATGATAGTGCGAAGGGAGGCGAAGAAAGGATATGGTAGCCAAGTTTGCAAGCGTGAGGTGGGGAGGAGGAGGGGAGAGAAGCGCGGCGGTCATGGCTTGGGAAGGGGAGACCCGACTTTGTTGGGGGGGGAAGGGACGGAATGGGGGTCATTTTGTCACTGCGTTAGACGAGAGGCGTAAACAATAGATTGCGATGGGGGGGCAGGACTGATGTCATGAAAGCGGAAGGGGAGGGAGGGGCCGAAGGGCTTTTGAGCGAGGACGTGGAGGCGTTGTTGACGCAACGAAGTAAGTGACAATTAAGAGCAGGTGGCCCACAAAGAACACAAGAGTTGCACTCATATGATCGGCCAGCCAACT